CATTTATAATATTAGTAGGGATAAATTAGTTATAATTTCATAATTCGATATAATCAAATTAATGTACGTTATTTATCGTAGAAGATTTTTGAATGGTAAAAATGTACAAAGTGCTTCATAAGCTTAGTTACACCTACATCCTATTAACATATAGTATTATGATTCCGACTAATATTCTGTTTAACCTCGTTTTAATCTTTCTAGTTCGTTTATTACGCAGATAGCTGTAATTTTTTTATTATTTGTTTATTTAGGACTTCACAGTTAGTCTTTTACAGCCATTCAACGCTCAAAAGAGGTTTATTTATGTTGTCTATTTTTGTAATAAAGTTTAAAATATTAAAATAATCTTTGTCCTTTGATATCAAACGTGGTGGCTGAAAAAAAATAGTAGCAATCTTACAATCCAAACCAAACATTAAGATTTTTTACTTTTAATGTTGCCAGATAAAATAAATCAACTAAAACAAATCAAAAGAAGTACAATTTGTCAAAACTAATTCTATTAGAAGCACTAGTAGAAGTTAAACACACGCGCTTAAAGGTTAAATAATGTTTGCTGTGTACTTTTTAAATAGAGATCTGGTTCTAAATTATCTGTACCGTAGTATTGCACTGAGTATACCATAAATAAAAAGAAAATATTTAGAGAAAAATAGGCATAATTTAGTATGCTTTGAGTAATAATTTATTGAATATGTAATAAAAAAGTAAGGGTAAGAATCTGTCATCAATTTTTCATTAGAAATAAAGTGATGTATACTTATTTCAAAGTCAATTAGAATTCGACTTCAAATAACAGATCAGTTACTATATTCCGTTATAATGAACATATTGATCTTTTTCTCAATAGAAAAAGATCAATATGTTCAGTCATTTCAGTCGTTTATGTTGCATACTTTTTTAAATAATTTCGATGGTTTTTTGAAAGAAAATGCCTTTATCAATTACATATCTCACTCTTTCATCGAGTCTTAGTTAATAAGAGTCGTGATGAAAACCCCTCCATTGTACGGATTACAAAGAAAATTGAATTACCTGTCATAAACAACTTATTTTGTTGAACATTTTGCTTAATTCCACATTTTACTGTACTTATTACGCGATTAAATGTAATTATTTAAATTTAATTTCCAAATATAAATTATTTAAAAGCTAGAAAGTTAAGTAATATCCACGTAAAACTCTTGTCATATAAAAAAATACACACGGTACTTCGGTCGGTACGGTCTTTAAAAATAATCAATTTAAAATATATAAAAAAATTGTTGCAAAAAATATCTCCTGTACCAATTGATCGGTATAACAAAATTATACCTAGTTATATTACGTAATAAAAAATATATAATTTAATACATATTTTTTTAATCAAGTCGTTGACAGCTTGTATAATTATATCTGTCAGTTGTCACTTCACGTCAAGGTCGCACACCTTCAACTAAGTAGTTGATACAACTTCACTTGAAACAAAATGTTTGATTTTATATACTATAGATAAAACTAGTTTGTATTTAACTTGAACTTTAGTTTAAATGTTTTGCAATCATAGTGTTGGTAATATTATATTATAACTAGATTCAAATATGTAATTGTTAATTGTTGTTTAATATTAATATTTATTTACATAGTAATAAATCTATTATAAATTATGTTATTATAATTTTAGTCCCCATATTGAATATAATTGTCATTTAATAAACACTTTATATAAAATGTCAATTTAATATAAGCCTACAATTATACTTTATTACGCTAAAGATATTCAACTTTTGAACGTTTGTAAATATAAATTAATAAGAAGCTAATATTACAATTACAATTTCAACAATGAACATTTAATACTTCTAAACACGTTTAACATCGATATAAAATCAATTCATTGTCAATTTCCGCACGTACGTATTAAAAAAAAACTGTTTAAGAAACCGCGCGCAAATAAACGATATCAATGGCTTTATAACCGACCTTCCGTTCGGACAATACTCCTTAGGATAGATTGAATTAGCATATACTGTACACCCACATTAATATAAATATATATATTAATTAACACAAGCTAATAATATGACTTTGTTACTGGCTATTCACAAAAGAGTTCCTAAACCTCTTCGGTAATTTTTTTTAAATAGTTTTTTTTTAAATTTTAACTCTCGTTTCGAGCCTAAGATTATATACATAATTCCTAAAACTACATAAATAATCCGTAAGTATTGTATGGATATATTTTTTTTGTTTTTATCGATAAAATAACCGTAATAATTTTGACGTAAACTTTAGTTTTTAAATACGAGACCTTCGTTTTTAATTATTTAAAAAACATCATCGTACGTCATATAATATACAGCGATAATGTTGAATTTGTGTCAAAACGCTACTTTATGTTATCCGTAGGTATAACAACCTTGAATTTATTATTGGTTTCAATTTACTTGCGCCGCAATGAAATATGGATAAATACGAGTGTTGTAGCAAAATGTGTGGCGTACGAAGAGAACCTTGGAATTAATAAGGAACTGTTTATTGGATCAGTCGGAAAACGTGAGGAGATATAACAATATATTATAAACACGAAAACTTATCAGATAAAAACTTAAAATCACTAATAACCATATAGATTATAATTTAATTCGTGACGTCATCACAGACTATAAATATGTACTTATTTCACTAACCCTCGATTCATTTACAATTAAAAAAGTTAAACGTCAAATCTATTATTTGTGTACAGTGATAAAAATATATTTTAGATTACTTCGACTTATAAATGTAACGAAAATAAAATATCGATAAATTATAACGTGATAAAAATTATAAGTACAATGGAAATCGTATTTTAATTTAATAGAGATAAAGCTGATATTGCTAATGATGTGTTTGATAAATAAAATGTATTATTCCATATAATATAAATATAAATCAATGGATTCATTGTAAATTGTTTTTGTCTGATCAATATTAAAGTAAATTCTTGTTTCAATAATATCGGACTGAATCCGAACGCTTCTTATTGACCATTGTATTCGATGGTCGCAAAAACTTAAAGAGAAATAAATTATATTACTATATAGAGAACACAATATATACAAAGAAAATAATATGTCTTAAAAATATTATTACGTATTAATTAAAATACAAAATATCGTTGTCATTAATTTAAATGATTGATTCAGAAATTATAAGAGAACTGTATATTTTTGAATATTAATTAATCGAATAACCTATTTCAAGAAGTTATGAAACTTTTTATAATTATGTATTTTTTATCTGTGACAAAATGTTTAATATTCTTTTCGGATTTAATTGAGATGGTTGAATTGAATTTACATAATATTACTTTAAAAATGTACAACTCGCGTAGTGGCTAGAAAACAATCTCATTTAAACATACATACTCCGATGTAACTTATTCTTCATATATTTTTCAAACTTTAATAAAAATCAAACCTTTTTTTGTAAAAAAGTTCAGTGACTTAAGAACTTACATAGTATTTTCTAGAACGACATCTAAGAAACATGTTGATATTCAAAATTTATACCTTTTTACTGGGACTTCTGACCAAAATCCATAGTATGATAATCTAGATACTTATCAAAAAATAGATCCGTACAAAGGAGTTTTCATTCATAATTATTATAATTATTAAATCACATATCATAAAAAACGTCATAATGTAATAAATAACAATAATGACAGGCTCCATCCGTAATATAGTTTTTATTACGAGCACCGAGTATTACCTGATGGAGGTAATCACTTCCAATGAAAGTTCACATTTATGAGACCGTTGCCTCTGTTACTTTATGTTATATACGTCTGGAAAAGGATTTCTTTTTGGTATAATAAAAATTTTACACACTTAGCCGTCTTAAAATTAAGATGTACCTACATACATATATTGTAATGACAAAAAGCGCTCTAGTAAATTCAATGTGTCGTAAAGAATGTTGGAGATTTACAATGTTTTTATCACGAAAACTTTGATATATTTCTTCGAATCGATATAAAACAATGGCCGTTACTAATATGTCACAACTGTCAGCTGTCAGCTGTCACCTGTCAACTGTCAAGTGAAACGTCCGTGTGAGGGCATGACAAATGTCCATTAGAAATAAATGGGATGTTTTCACTATAATCACTATTAGATCGATCGGTGACGTCAAACACTCGGTACTCCAATAACGACTAGAAACTTGGTTCATTGAAATAAACAAAATACCATTATAGTACATTTTTTTAAAATATTTATCATACCGCTTATACCTGCGACTTAGCCAGAATATTAAACTCACTTGGAAATACACTTGGAAATATTCTAATTATCACTACGAGATTTCAGTTCATTTCTCGAATATTCTTTAATCAAATCCTGACTTAATGACAGTAGAAAGTGCTTAAGAACGATACATTTCGTTTAAAAAAATACAAAAATCTGTCTTTAATTAAAAGAGTAACGAAATTGAGTGGAATTAAGAACTTCCTTCTTTTAAAGTCGGTTAAAAAGTAGCTGAAGTCAATCCTTACGAAATTACCTACCTGCGAGTAAAATTCTCTTTAAATTTGATCCAGATATTCAGAAGATTAGCCGTAACAACCAGACAAACCAAAATGTTTAAAATTGCTGTTTTATCGTGAGTATCGTTTTGTATAATTATAAAATAATTTAAAGCTGCTAAATTAAACTTACAAAAAGATTCACTTATGTATTTCTGCTTTAGATTGAAAATCAACAGATAAAATAAATGGATATAAAATATTTGATGAGGTTTTAAAAATTAAACCAAAATATTTAAATTTTATTTACAATTACTAAAAGTGCAAAGTAATATCAACCTGTAAGGACCCAGCTAAATTTTACTTTAATAGGTTTTCGAATAAAAGTATCTTATATCCTACGTCTCTAATAAATTAAGTTAATTTAAATAAATATAAAGATATCATCGAATAATATTAAATAAAAATAAAGCGTAAACCAAACATATTCCACGGATAAAGTTGTAAGCTAACCTTCTTTGTATAGCGGCGGTGCAAATCCGTTGCAAAAACAAGGAACAATAAAACAAGTTTCGGAGTTGAAACCCACTACGAGCGCGTGGCGCGGCGGCCGCCGGCGAGCCTTGAGCCCGACTGGCGGGTTGGGACAAGCGAGAGTGCATACGAAGATGTGGTCCATCGATTGAACAGCGTCTATACCTGAACCAAAAGTTCCTTCCCCCTGAAAAACACACCCAGACAGATGCATCTCTGTCTGCAACTATCAAACGTTCAGGGGTTATGAATCATCGTCTCGACGGTATATCAAGTGAGACCCTTGAATATTGCAAAAAAGGTCGCAATTAATTAAACAATTGCCGCATCCGACGTGTGTGGGCGAGTGTTCATGAAGACAAAGCGGTGTCAACGTACCCTGGATCGGATATGCATGTATCAATACTGATCAGCATGAATTAAATAGCTCCTAAGGGTGTACGGGACTTTCGATTTTATGGTTTTGAAACGTAATACGCTTTAGAGGCGATAATAGATTGTCTTATATAATATATTATGCACGCGAAACGATGCTCTTTGTAAAGGGTTGGTAATTGGTTTTCAGCTGGTTAATAGTTACGTGCAGTAGCAATACTTTGTTTCTTTCCATTCCGCTTTGTGTTCTAAGGAAGACTAGACTAGATACTATTTGTATGCGTCTTCATCCATTAAAAGCTTTATACTTCCTCTAATTTACTATAGTAGAAACTTTTCTAAGCATATCAATATTTAACATCTAAAATTAATTACACCAAACTGATTTAATAACATTACATTTACCAATAGCACCAAATCCGTGATTAAAATTTACATAATATCACGCTTATGCTTAATTGAATAATATAAAAAATATAAAACCTTTTTGGAATCGCTCATAAAGTCATTGTCAGGAAATATAATAATTAAAAAAAAAAACTGAAAGGTCTTCGTGACTTTCGCGTATACAAAACTATTTTTAGCCATAGAATGTAAGGTAAGGAAATTAAAACAGAAATTACTCTTACAGCCTTGGTTCTGTTCAAGTATATGGGTCCCTGACATGGATATAGAATGTCGATATTAGTATCACAGTACTATTAATACAAGTGTTATGTTACTTCTCAGTTCTCACTGAGCATACGATGACTGGTTGGCATTAATAAGAACCTGTGTTGTATGACAATTTTTACCAGGAGACTGTTTTGTTTCGACTACCTCCTAACTAATACAAAATTTTGTAAAAAGAAAATTGTGGTTTTGAATAGTATGTAATAGTTAAAATTAATTCTAGTAAGTTAACTTTAATTGTAACTAACGATAATATTTATTTCATAAAAGTCAGTTTTCTTTACAAAATAAAAATTCTAATATCCTGCAAAAAACATTTGTCACTAAGATAAGGGTTTTTTGTCCATAATAATAAATCTATTTTGATTTGGTTATTCTACTGTTAACTCTTTATTGTGTATTTCATTGATAAGTTTACATACCGTGAAAAGCATCGGCCGATTAAAAGTTGTATGAGATCAAATGATAATTTAAAACAGTATTTTTTGACATTGCCGTCATATAACAATGTATCTGATACCAGTATTGTCAGTTCTTTATTTGCTTTTCAGGGTTTCATGCTTAGTCGATAGAAATATAATACTTAAAAAAAATCCAAGACTTTATTTCTGTAGAAAGCGATGAAGTTTCTTTGGAAATCGAACTTCTAAGTCTATTTATAGATTCTAACTTTATTTTTGCTTCTTTAGCCACTGGTAAAAAAATCAAATTAATAGAATTTCCTTTGAACTATAATCCTGATTTTTATCAAATAGTTATGCCATTTCGAACGACTGTATGACACAACTGAAATTTGTTACTTTTACATATATAGGTATAATAGAAAAATATGTCTAAATTTTCAAGGTTCATAAACAACTAGTGACTTTGTCAATATATTGTATAAGATGAAAACAGTTGTCCGACGCCAATTTTATGTTTTTCCTTCAATTTATCTGATAGAGGAATATTCAGTCTTTTATTGATCAGCCACATCAATTCCTCCAAACCTACATTTGTTCGCTTTTTAGGTTGCCTTAAGGCACCTGTTACTGGTGTGGTTTGCTGATTTCTTGACCATGGAAACGACATTATGGGATTACTTTGGTTGAAATATATAAAAATATAAAAGTAACATTCCGCTACCAGGACAGGCGTACGTTACAAATACGGAAAGGATTAGGAGAATGACCAACCCAATTGGTTTTCTAAATCGGCTTTTATGTATTGCCAAAATAAATGAAAACAAATTACCATTATATGCCCATCCGGGGACCGAATTCGACTACCACGACACAAAAGCCAGCTTTCTAACCACTACGACATACAGTCAAATTTATTACTGCATATGAAATAACATCACTTAATATTTAAAGGACAAGATCCTCTTTGATACTGAAACAAGTTAAAGATTCTCCGAACGAGTTTTTAACTAAATTCTAAATATTTTCCGTCACACCACTTTAGCATGGAAATTGCTTTGTGGTACGGAAGCCTCATAACGAATTTCAAACTCCACTTCATCAACTTGAGCAATGTAAAACTAAAGAACGTCATAGCTATTTACCGGCTAGTGTTCTGTCTACGATAAGACGATTTAGTTTACAGAATCATATACAGGGTGACTGGTGAATTACTATCAATATTTAAGGAGCATACTCGGTACATGACTCTCATTCGAATTATGTAAAAAAATAGGTACTTAATTTTTGACCAAATTTCCGTATAAATAAATAAAGTGTGGACACGTTCCAAGTGTTCCAAGTGTGGACGCGTGCGGCGGCGTGCTGATACAACACCACGCCGCCGCGCGCGAGTGTGTGTGTGTATACCTAATCTGTAGGGTGTTCACACGATGCGTAATTAATTACACAACTTTTGGTTAACTTTACTTAGAAGTTTATTAATATTTATGTTATATTAATTTTTATTTTGTCATATATGATCGTCAAATATCACGTCCTCAAGTATCGATAGTAATTCACCAGTCACCCTGTATTATATGGAAAATGATTTTGTATGAAAAATCATACGAAGATATATAATAATAATTCCTAGTTCCATATAATCAAGGTCTTCGTAATACTAGACAATTAGGTACAGTATGTACGATCGATAGAACTGCAATTTAACAATTCATAAACATCGCTTGTAACGTATCTTTGTTGTTGACGTTTAAAAAAAACATTTATGGAACGTTTCGAATTATTCCATAGAAAAAAAATTTACTTTAGTTTGTATGAGAAAGTTCCGAATTGGTTAATATGCAAATATTAAAAAAAACATTTGTTAATTATATTTAATAGTGGTAAAAAGAATGAAAAATACGTAATTGATAGTTTTATTCGTCTTTGGAAAATAATTTTAATTGCAATTTAGAATATTGTTTTAATATATTATAAATAATGATTGTTATAAACATAATCCATGATCTTAGTCATCTGTAATATGAATCATGCCATGTCTTTGTTATGACTCTATGGTCACTGTAATAAATTTAACAAGAAAGAATGAAATAATCTAAATTAAGAGGAAAATCAATAAATTATACGTACGAGTATTATACCTAAGTATAAATTTTACTAAAAATCTTTTCGCGCACCATCGACAACTCACTTATCGATTTTAGATTAATTAACAATAATATTTTCATGTATCACATCACTATATACCGTTTCATTAATTCCACATAATACATCACTAGTTAATCCTATACACAGTTATGACAATAATACTGGCCATTCCACTGTTAGATACTGTTAGCAGCTGCAGTCATACAACGAACATTCAATCATCTCGTAATTACTAGACTTGATGAATGTTATATTAGTTAACTGGGAATATTACTAATTAAATACACATTATTATAAAAAAAATATAATTTTTATAACTTTTGGATGATACTATATGTATAATATACTACTGACAGACGGTAAAGGAAAACATCGTGAGGAAACCTGGACTTATAATTTCACAATTATAAGTTTGAAATTACCAACCCGTCTTGAGCAAGCGTGGTGAATAATGCTCAAACCTTCTGCATGTGAGAAGAGGCCTTTGCTCAGCAGTGGGCTCTGATAGGCTGATGATGATGACGATACTGTATATTGAGTTGTGTCAATTAAGCCTATACACGTAAGTTTATATATGACATGCATATTGCATAACCTTGTGTTGCCAGCATTAAAAATCAAATCCAATTAATAATATATTATGTAATATGGTAAATAATCCACATTCAATACTAATAGGCATGCTATTACCTGTTCTAAGGCAAACAGAACTCAATTATGGAGCTATTCAAAAGCCATTAGGCTTCATACGTCTTACTAAAGGTCTCATTAGAATACCGCAGTATTGTTCACATCATTAGCTACGGCGTAACGAAATATTTATGGTAAAATAAGGGTCAAAACAAAAACAAAACATTCTTACTTTGTTTTAATATAAAGATGAGCAAACAAAGTTGTATACTTATTATGAATTAAATTCAAGTGAACACTGTCTGAAAAGTTCGTCATTCCGGGAGTATATTTTGTTATCATTCGATATAATATCGCCGGCCAGACAACAAAGGAATTCAACAAGTGCACGGGTGACGGGTGACGGGTGTAACAGGGAAGTCGGTGGGGCGCTCCCTTCCTGGGTCCGTTTCGAGGGAAGTCTGCGGCTGGCAATTATTTTCGAGTGGTTACTGGATAATCACCCTTTTGTTATATTAATTTGTTCGTGTAATGCGATAGTGCTGGCTACCTGAGCTGGCGTTCATTATGAAGACACACCCATCAGGAGTTAAGAATGAATAGAGATAAATATGTTCCGTTTTAAACGTGTCGTTAAAGATATTTCTAGAAACTAAATAAGGATGTCAGGATGTCTGACTATTTCCTAGTATCATCGCTGTAATCTTTGTTTTACGTCACAAGAACATTTCTTACTTCTCAACAACATGCATTCTGTTTGCAATTAAAATTAACATGCATGGAAAATACATTATTAAATTATGAAAATAAATGTATCACAATCGTAGTATTTATTTATCTTCTTTGAAAACTAATTAAATTCTCAATATTTTACTAAAAAAAATGCTATTTATGATATATTTGTATAATGAAATCGATTATCGATTGTCCGGAATGAATTTCAACCACAAAAACTACGTAATAACAATGAATTTGAATTCCGATT